GAGACACAAAAATGTAAATTAATATTTTAAAATAGAGAGAATCAAAGATGGGAAAATTATGACAGACGAAGTCTGACTATTTCTTGGATTTCTTACCAATACTCTTTGGATCAAGGTACTTTTCCGCCATCTCTCCAATAGTCAGAGTGGTAACTGCAGTCGAAGACGACGTGGATGCTGCTGGTTGCTGCTTGCTCACTGCAGCTGTTGGTTTAGTTGTGACAGATGCATCCTTGGTTGATGCTGGATCTGTTTGTGTCTTCAATGCAGTCACAATATCTTTAAAAGATCAAATTCAATTAAGATTAATATCAGTAATTTGAAAGATCATCAGCATCTCACCTTCCTCATTTACATTAATCAAATATACAATATTTTGAACCTTATTCTTTAAACAGTGCCATCCATAAATTGAAAAGGTCTCCAACGTACCTTTGTGCATTCTTTTTATCTCCACCCCTCCAGCTGGCAGCTCTACAGCAGGTTCAGTTGGGTTTCCTGGAGCCTGCGGTTGCGTCTGTGAAGCATCTGTCTTGGTCTCTTGTCCTTTAGGCACAATGCTCTGATTGGCAAGTTTGCCTGTGGTGGTGGTTATGGATTTAGTGGTTTGAGGTGTTGATGTATCAGGTTTTCTGTGAAGAAAAAAAAAAAGTTACATGGGTTAAACAGGAGAAAGTGGAGATGGAAGGATAGTGCTGTCATTTTTTAATATGAAGGACATTTAAGATACAGGGAATGGACACAATACCATGTGCATGATACCTGTACAGTTTACAGACATAAAATCTCCCTTAATGCAAGTATTTTGGACTATATTAAACTGCACAGGTGTGTAAAATTCTTTCCATCCCCCGTACACTTGTGTACAAGGTATATTCCCAAAAAGTGAACACATAAGCTGCAGCAAATTCTGATTATATGAACTGAATGTTGGTGAGATCCTAATCTGAAAAACAGACAAATTTAGGCAGCAACTAAATAGTAACATATAGACTTAAACAAGATAAAAACCCTCTGCCCTCCATCACTGTTAAAACAAGGTCTGTGTGAAACATATCTTACTTCTGAGGTTTCTTTTGCTCCTTAGAAAAAGTCTCTTGTAAACGATGAAACTGAGCTTCTTCAACCTTTTCTTTTGCCACAGCTCCTGCTGCAGCCAACTGGTCCACTGGAGTTTTGGGTTTCTGTGTAGTTAAGTCGTGCGGTAAAGCTTTGACAGAGGTTTCTGTTGGTTTGGTCTCAAATATACTGGTTGGTGGTTGGCTATCACTGGGTTTGCCTGGTGAAGCTTCTGGTACAGCCTCTGTAGTTGTTGGTTTTTCCCCTTTGCCATCAGCACAACCTCCAACTTCTGTGGGCTCTGCCACTTTAACTACTGTTTCCCCAAGCCTCACTGGTTCAGTGTCATTGGGTTTGTGAAGTTTTGCTTGATGCTTCGGTTCAAAACTGGTCACATTTGCTGTTTCAACAATCTCAGCTGTGTCTTTCAGCACCACCACAAGTTCTTGAACCTTAGTTTCAGATTCTTTAGGCTTGGGATTTTCTACATCAGGCTGATTTGCTGAAGCTGTAGATTTGGAAGGCACACTCACAGCCTTTGCAGTTGTTCCTTCAACCTTTGCTTTTGCCACAGCTCCTGCTGCAGCCAACTTGTCCACTGGAGTTTTGGGTTTCTGTGTAGTTGAGGCCGTTTCTGGTTTGGAAGCCAAGACCTTTGCTTCAGTGACAAACTCATTGCTTTTTGTTGGCTGGGTCTTAACTGTACTGGTTGGTGGTTGGCTATCACTGGGTTTGCCTGCTGAATCTTCTGGTGCAACCTCTGTAGTTGCTATTTTCCCTTTACCATCAGCACAACTTCCAACTTCCTTGGGCTCTGCCAATTTAACTACTGTTTCCTCAAGCTGCATTGGTTCAGTGTCTTCAGTGTCATTGGATTGATTCTTGGGTTCAAATATGGTTACATTTGTCACAGCTTCTTGAACCTTGGTTTCAGATTCTTTGGGCTTTGGATTTTCTAAATCAGGGCAATTTTTTGAAGCTGCCAATTTGGAAGGCACACTCACGGCCTTTGCAGATGTTTCTTCAACCTTTTCTTTTGCCACAGCTCCTGTTGGTTCAGTAACAGTCCTGTTTGCTGATTTATCAACCTCAGCTGTCTTTTTCAGCACCACCACAGACTCTTAATACTTGGTTTCAGACCTTTCGGATAAAGGTTTTTTGTTTGATTGAACGTCTGCTCCTGACAGCGGTTCTTTCTGGTCGTGGTGTAAGCTGTTGACGCGGCTATGTGTTGGCTGTGTCTAACTGTATGGTTGGTGGTTGGGCTTTACTGGTGTTGGCCTGTCGAATCTTCTGGTACGACCTCTGTGTGTGGTCGTTGTTTCCCTTTGCCCATCAGCACGGAAACCTCGCAACTGTCTGTGGCTCTGCCACTTTGAAATTCTGTGTTCCAAGCTGCATGGTTCAGTGTCATTGGGTTTGTGAATTTTGCTTTGATCTTCCGGTTCAAAACTTCACCATTTGCAGGTCGACAAGGCTGGTTTGTGTGTTGCACCATATCGTTGGAAATTGGTTGTCAGATTCTTTAGCGTGGGATGCCCTTTCTAGTCACTCAGTAGATCTTGAAAGGCAACACCTCACCTTCATTTAGCACGAGGATGGTTTCTTGTGGCAAACCTTTTTCTTTTGCCACAGGCTCGTGCTGCAGCGCAACTTAGCTGCTGGACGTTTGGGGTTTTTTGTGTAGTTTGGATGTGTTTCTCGGTTTGTAGCCAACGACCTTTGCTCTCAGTTGACAAACTCATTCTTTTGTTGGCTGCGTCTCTACACTGTTACTGGTTGGTGGTCCCTCGCTCCCACCTCGACTCACTCGGGTC